AGGAAAATCGAGAGAAGGTACTAGTGAAATCAAAATTCGACCCACAGTGGTGTATCAAATAGTGGTTTTCATTAATCCAATAACGACAAGCGTACAGGTCCCAACTTGGAGGTTAATTATCCTATAACTGAAGAAAAAGATGACCACGTTGAGCCCAGTGATGTCGGCGAATTCGTGCAAGTCAATAAAGTATGACGTAAGACACCTTGCACGTCGCTATAAAAACTATAAGCTATAAAAAGAAAGGAAACAAATGTTGTATCCGTGCGCAATGCATATCCAAAAAAAGAAAAAAAGGAAAATCCAGCTTGGGACACAATCAACACAATAAATTAAAGAATAACTTGTCGTGTGACGATTGCGTTTAGCGAATAACCACGCTACAAACAATTCCGAAGCAAAGCTGGTCCAATCTCGAATCGCGACGAAAAATTCTTCGCACTCACAATGACGCAACATGACGACTGACTTTCCGTCTCATGAGTCTTTGTTAATGCCTGTTCTACAATACGTCGTATGTCGGAATCGGATGTCGGACGCATGCGCACTCGGTTGTCAGCTGTCGCATAAAGCTGTCGGGAGTCGGTTGTCGCTATCGTAACGAGAGTTGGTCAACTCTCATCTTCCGACATCCGACTTCCGACTGTACGACTATTGTAGTATACAGTATAACCTTATTTTCATCATGAAATGTACAAGTTTAGATGAAATAATTATTGATTTTGTGCGCGAAAATCATTGTTATATATATGACAAATGTAATATATATTTCAAAAATATTAGGAAAAAAAGGATGTGTGGAAAAATATTTCCGAAACTTTGAAAACTTTATATACAGTAAATATGTCAGGTAAGTTTTTTTAATTATTATGTATAACAAAAATCCTGATAACATGTATATTTTAAAGACGTCTTCTCAACAAATATAAAATAATACAATGTATAACAGTACTGTTATCTTACTGTTATTTTGTGTTAGGTTTCTGATGTCTTTAAGACATACATGTCATCTTGGAAGACAATTTATAATGTTGAACAATTTATAATATCAAAATATAATGTAAAATTATTATATTTTGTAGTTAAAGAAGTTGAAAAACGATGGTCATCTTTAAGAGATATGTTTAGTAAAGAGAAAAGACGACAAACATTACCACCTTCTGGTTCTGGATATAAACCTGTGAAGGAATGGGAGTTATACAGAAATATGTTATTTTTAACTCCTTATATAGCTCACAGAAAGCAAGTCTTTAGTTTTTAGAATATTTTTTTATTATTGATTATTTCATATTTATTAATACTTATTTTTTTATTTACTTGTTAATATTTATTGTATAATTTTATTTCAATTATAGTTATTTTAATAATTTTATTTACAGAACAAAAACATCATTTGTTCAACAGAATCAATCATTAAGTTCATTACAAACAAGTACAACAAATTGTTCACCGGTAAAAAAATCCAAGCAATCTTTCAATATTTCTTCACCGTTATATGATCACAATTACAATGGGCCTGTTGAATTAATTGAAGGTTAAAATATATTAAAGAAAAGTATTATTATTAAAAGTATTATTTTTAATATTGATATTGATATCATAAATTATTTTCAGAGGATACACCGTCATTAAATATTGAAAATGAGGAAATAATTATGACAACTAATAATGAGATCTTAAATAGGCCTGCCAGTACACTTTCTAGCTGTAGTAGTACTAGCAGCATCCAATTGGAGACAAGTACGAAATCCAATTCGGTAAACTTAGAACGTCCATTAACATTAAAGTCTTTTAAAAAAATAGTGCCGGAAATGGACGAATTTGCAAAACGTCGGAGGAGCAAAGAGGATAAAATTGATCGCGAATTAGCAGAAACAAGTAGAGAAATATCAGCTGCTATCAAAGAAGTATCATCTCAAATGCATTATGATACCCATTTCAAAGATGGTTACATGTTTGCTGTAGAAGAAGGATTAAAGTATGTTTCTTCTAAAAATAAGACACAATGTCTTATAGAAGTTCTTCAAATTATTAAAAAATACGAGGAAAGGCAATAATTAGTTTTATAGTTTTACATTAAAAAGTAATTAAAATTAAATAATTCAAAATATTTAAAATAAATTTGAGTTTTATATGCTGTTCTTTATATTTTATGTTTCACAAAAGATACAGAAAGACTTATATACAGTTATAAAAATATTATCTCTATAAAGTTTCTTTTATATTTTATATTTAAAGTTATCTAAGTTTCTTTTGTTTTATATTTTTAGTTTCAATTAAATAATAAAATGTATTTTAAGTTTCCATTAAAGTTACAACAGAGTACAAATTAAATAATACAAGTAGCATTTCTTGTGATATGTATGCTGTTCAAAAAATTTGTGTTTTATAAATAATATTGTTATTATTTTATTAATTTTTATATGTATTATTAAGACTGATATGTATTAATAATATTGATAAGACTGATATGCATTGATAACATTGATAAAAATTATTTGTAATAATAAGATTGAGATAAGACATTAGAAACAGGATGATTGTGATTATAAAGATTACAAAGTTTTATGTACAATTAATATTATTTATTAATGGGAGCGGTGCACTTGGACACGGTGCATTTGGACACAGCCAATCACAGCACCGTATGATTAGAGACATTTGTAGGGTCTCTTGAAACAGCGACTTGTGATTGGACTGTGTCCAATTGCCCCGTGTCCAACTGATATACACCCTTTATAACGTAATTACAAAAACTTTATATGTAATTTTTTATTATTTTTATAAGATATTTATATGCGTTCCCATTGATATGGAATACTTCCTTGTTCTGAGATAAAATATCGAGCAAGAGTTTCCCGTTGTCTCATAGCAGCAGTTGTACCAATGTTGGCACCAACTCGCCCTAAAGGATGAATAAACCCTGTTTCTTCTATTTCATTTCGCCAATTCCCTGGTATTATCTCACCATTAGTTACCTCTCGATCAATCATTCCTTCATTAAAATAAGAATTAATTTGTAAATTGGTACTTATAATATAATTATGCAAACAAGTTATAGCTTGTCTAGTAAATTTAAAAAATTCTTCATGATCACTTGTTTCAAAATATCTAAAAACTTTTTGATGAGCACCTAACTCATTTCTTATATTTGTGGATATGTGGGGTTTTACCCACCATCTTCTTATTGTTTTTCGTCGTCTTCGTAAAAGTATTTTTATTTTTAACAATTTTATTACCATTAATAATATATTTAAGCTTCTGATCGTTGTTAAATTATCCATTTCTTAGTTTTACAATGCTTTGCTGATTTTAAATTCGTGCATAATACTGCCGACTGTGCGACACAATTGTAGAATAGTTGTCGCATTCACAATCCGTTCAACGACTTGCGCCATCCGACTCCGACATACGACGCATTGTAGAACAGGCTTAAGCCCGTATCAGACTACCGACTACACAGGCCGACCCGACTGCCGACTACGACTGCCGACTCTCAATGGACCAATCACAGTGAGGCACTGACTCGGCGCCTCACTGTGATTGGTCCATTGAGAGTCGGCAGTCGTAGTCGGCAGTCGGGTCGGCCTGTGTAGTCGGTACTCTGATACGGGCTTTAACCCCGTGACATCCCCTACCCTCGCGACCAGCGAGATGTCGCGGCATAACGCGGTGGACTCACGCTCTCCCTCTTTTTTATCCTCCGTCGAAAGGAAAGGCGCGAGTCGAATCTTCTGACCTTTCTTTAAACATTACCGCCCGCCTTCGTTGACATAGACAACGAACGATCTTCCTCGAATGGTTCAATTGGTAACGGGCATAACTTGACGATGGGTCACTTGATGACTGACGTGCTGGTCTTGACTGAGACGACTCTCACTACATTGTCCGGACCCGGGTGCGTCTGGATAACACGACCTAAAGGCTACTTGGCTGGTGGATATCTTTCGTCGAGGATCAGAACTAGAGTTCCAACTGCTATCGGGGTGGATGTTTTGTTCTACTTGTAAATGGCTTGAAATCGTTGCAGATATTCTTTCAACCACTTTGACCAAAAACTCTGAAGCATCTGAGAAATACGCTGCCAACGAGAGAGCGAAGTAGTTTTGCAGAGGGTCAAATTAGGTTCTGGAATAAGTGTCAACGGCTGGCCAATGAGGAAGTGCCTTGGCATTAAAACGTTTAATGGCCATTTTCACCATCTCCGATTACCTTAACGGGTTAGTTATTCCGTTTGGAACTGATCAATCGCACTTGTCGTTTAACAAGATTAACCAATCACCGTGCACATTTAACCAGTAGTTAAGGTAACTGGAGATGGTGAAAATGGCCATAAATCGTCCGGATCATTTGTCAATGGTCGGGAGTTAAATATTGCTTCTACTTTCGTCAGAAGGGTGGACATTTTTTCGTACGTGAGCTTGGTGTCTCCTGTCTCAGATGATGTTTCATTGATTTGACACCAGGTTCCCACTTCCCTCCAAAATGCGAAGCTGCTGGTGGGTTAAAATTCCACTTGGTTTCATCAGCAGCAATGAGTGATGCGAGCTCTTGAAGTTCGATAGATGAAGTTGAAAAAAGTTTCTTCAACTCTTGATCCGCTCCCTTGAAATTTGTTCCACAGTCACTTGTGAGAGTGGCACAAATCCCTTTCCAAGAAGTCAAACGTTTGTATGAGGCGAGAAAAGTGGCAGCAGAATAATCAGTATCTCTAAATGCATTGCAGAGGTCGATAAGCACACAAAAAGATCCATACAAGATTTGTAGGTGCCAGCTTTTTTTCCTTTCCAGGTTTTGAGATGATAAGGGCCAGCATAATCTAATCCCGAATGTAAAAAAGCTCGAGCGGGATTCACTCGTGAAAGAGGCAGTTGACTCATTAATTGTTGGGCTTGCAATCGGCAATACCGAGAACATTTAACACATTTGAGGATATAAGACCGAACTGGGACTCTCCCTTCGAGGATCCAATAAGTATTTCGAACATACGTTAAAGTATCTTGCGTTGATCCGTGGAGAGTTCGCTCATGTGTATCCTGAATAAGCAAGGTGCTTAGTAGAGAATCTTTCGGGAGAATGTACGGATGTTTCGATGTCTGATCTAAGGGAGAATGTTCTAGTCGACCTTTGACACGAAGTAAACCGTGATCATCGACTAAAGGGCAAAGTCGGCAAAGAGGATTGGATTTCGGCAAATCTTTCTTCGCATTAAGTAGTTTGATTTCGGTAGAAAAATAGGTTTTCTGAATAACTTGAATCCAAAATCGCGTTGAGCGTTCACTACCTCGTCAGAAGTGATAGCATGATTTAAGGATTGCGACGGTTTTTCTTATTATTACTCGTAGCGGACAGTCGCCCGTCCGCCTCGTCGACAAACTACCGCGATCCCCGGATCTCGTTTCGGACTCTCTAATTTCCGTTGGGCGCCAGGTGCGGTAAGGCCGCACCTCCTCACCAATAATTATTCGTCAAAGATTTCTAAATCGTCGTCCGTCTTCGAGATCGCGGGGACGAAACGGGACCGCTAGCTCTTTGTAAATTTTAGTCGGAGTAGGGATGGGTTAGATCAACGTAGGTGGAAGCCGAAGAAAAGACCAATTCGTTCGGTATAGATTTTTATTCCGGCGATACAATGCACTGCAAGTGCCCGATACGATCTCTCGCTTGTTTCGATACGCTATCCCGATATCTTAGTCCCTAGTGGGAGATCTTCTCGCGTTTCGCGCGACCACTCTGCATGCGGTAGGTTTCGTGTGACAATTTCGTGAAAATTACGACAAACAACAAACGAATGGGAGGTCTTACAATGAGTCGGACTCCTCCTCGCCGGTCCTCCGGGTCGATCGCTTCGCCTGTTGCTCGTCTGAAGTCGCCCTCACTATACCACGCCAATGAGAGTACGGCACACCTTCCAGTATGGTCGCGTCCGCTCACAAAACGACAATTCCGGCAAAAATCGAGATCAG